CGTTAGAGAATTCCTCCAAACCAATGTTACAAATGCCTAGGCTATAACCACTCCGACAAAAACTGTACAGAAAATATGAAGTGTACAAGTTGCGGATCTGAAGACCATCAGAAAAAGATTGCAAAAAGGAATCCCCAATCTGTGTAAGTGGTCACAAAATCAATGTAAAATTTAATGTAGGGTTAAACACCCATCACGACAGTCGCGACAGAAAATGTGCATGCTACTTAAGAGAGTTACAGAAATACAAACAAAGAATAAATTATGAGTAAAATCCAAGTTCTCCAGATAAACCTACAGCACTCTTGGGGTAAGAGAACATTTAGAACAAAATAAAGATATAAAGATAGTATGCACACAAGAACCCTACGTAAGAAACAATCATCTACAAGGATTCCCCACAAAATTCAGAAAATTCTGAGCAACACAAAACGTCAAAACAGCAATCATACTACAAGGCACTCCCTGCCTTGGAGGTCATTAGCACAGATAACATCACAGCAGTGCGAATCGAATGAAAACCACTCTTTCCTGATTGTTTTTGTTTACTGCCCTCCATCACAGGAAATTGAGCCTATATTGGTCTCGCTAGAGAACTTAATCATAACAAATGATTCTATCTCAGTTATAATCAGCGGGGACTTCAACGGAAAATATCCAATTTGAGTCCCACTCAGCCAGACCCAAGAGGTCTCAAGATCTGTGAGCTACTAGCAGCCACGAGTTTAGCCGTCATTAATAAACCTGATAGCCCTCCTACCTTCTCTGGTTCCAGGGGTACCTCGTGGATTGATATCACTTTATTTCGGAAAGAAAATCCAATCAAAATTTCAAATTGGAAAGTCCAGGAGGAAGAAAACCTTAGTGACCATAACTACGTCCAATATGACATCGATAATGTAGACTTACAGGAAAAAGAACACCAACAAGATGAAACTAAGTCATATAGACGATGACATTCAGGCAAAAACTCTCAGAACAATATTCTGCAGTTTCACTACCACATACCATCATGGAAATAAACAAGCACATATAGAGATCACCACGATACTCATCCATGAAAATTATGAGCACACTAAGTCGCTAATTCAAATAAGAACAACAAACACTATAGAAGCAACCCATGGTGGAATCAGGAGCTCACGATTATAAGAAAAAAGGTACGAGCCTTACGGCGGCGGTACCATCGCACCTCATGAGACATGCGCACCAAAAACAGAGTCATATACAAAAAGGAACAAGCTATTTATAGACGAAAGAACTTAGAGGCCAAAAGAGCCTCTTGGGAAAATCTTCAGATCTCTTCCCCGTTAAGGGCAAATGCCTAGGACCCCTACAACTAAGCTCAAACCAGATGGGACAACCACAACTTCAGTTGAAGACACTATTAGAGAAATTGTCAAATATCATTTTCCCAACGATACTCAAGACGAAGACACCCCACATCACAGGGAGATAAGGAGATCAGCAAGCAGCCCTTCAAACATCGCAAATGATCCCCCTTCACTACCACAGAAATTCGAAAGATCATAGAAACTACCAAAAGGGGAAATTCCCACTATACTCCCGTCCACCCATCTCTCACGAAAGATATAAAATGGCTTAAACATCTACCAAAAGGACAGGACTTAGAAATCTTTTCTGATGCCTCTGAAGTTTCAGAGCAAGTAGATGCAGCCTATGTCGCTTTCTACAACAATACAGAAATTCACTCAGCACGGTTCAGACGTAGTGACCACGTCTCGGTTTTCCAGGCTGAGTCCTTCGCTTTAAAGAAGGCAGCTCTTTGGGCAGGTAACACCATTTTTCCATCATCAGCTTCTACACAGACAGTATGAGCGTCCTACAGGCACTGAACAAGAACGGCACACAAGCCTTCCACATCTCTTGATTAAAAGAAGTGCTTATTACCCTGTCTTCTTCCAGGCAAGTGTCTGGTACGTAGTCATCAAGGTACCCAAGGTAACGAAAGGGCCGACGCTTTAGCTAAAGAAGCCACAAGACACCCCTTCATCGACTCAGAGATACCACTTTCCATAGTCACTGCCAAACACAAGATCTTCTGCGCCTTCATGTCCATCTGGCAAGCTCGCTGGGACTACTCAGACACCGGTCGACACAATTACTCCATCTTTCCCGTGATTTCCACCAAAAGGCTGAAAACAGATTTCTATCTACAACAAGCTTTCACAAATCACGGAAGATCTCCCGCGTACCTCAGCAGGTTCTGCCATCAAAACGTAAAATGCGCCTGCGGTGCTTCAGCTTCTTCAGCAGACGTTTCACATTACATCCACGACTGTCCACTTACTTCTCCCATCATAGCCTTCCTTCCTCAGCTTCAGGGATCACATAGCCTCAAAGATCTTCAGGATCACTACGGACAGTGGGGCGTCAGAACTATCATAGAGTATGTCTATTCTAAGAGAAACATAATCATATCAGATAACCAGGTCTAAGCACCTGACGAAATGTAAAGGCAGCAAGCTTCAACTCATGTATATATGTAAATATCTCTAAGCTAACTAAGCCTTTTTGATAATTTTATACTAACATTCCCAAAAAATTGTAAGTTGGAGCACCCAACAAAAGTAATAACTATTGTTAAATCTGTTTATATATAATAAGGTTGAAAAGATAAACAACTAAAATAGGTTGCTGTAGCTAAGATCAGAATAACATGACTGACCTGTAGAGCCCATTGAGGGGTGAAGCAGGCGGAATAATAATAAATAAATAATAAATAATCATTTTATTATCGATGTATGAGCTATACACATGTTCAATTTCATCAAAAACAACCACTTCGTTCATGGTGCTTCGATTTTTTTACAAAAGTGTATATGCCTAAGAGAATGGGCTCCTTTGTGAAGGACATTTTAAAGGAAATTGCTTCGCATTCATGTTATGCATGGACCAAATTGCAAAATTCTCATGCATTCACCCGTTTCCAAATTAGTGATTTGATCTGGTTTATTTGATTATGGCAAAGCACTCGAAAGCTGTCTGCCTAAAGAAAGAGATGGCTTTGTGACTCATATATACGTTACACCCATGCAGGCATCCCGTTCGCCGGAATTTGAACCAAGGGCCGAACTACCAGTATTCAGCGACTTTACCGCTCGATCGGTGGTGGACTCCAGATCGGTTGTATTTTCAAAGCCACTCTATTGGTATGATTCAAAACAGGTTCCTGTCGATGTGCGGTTTTCGTCATTTTCAAAAACAGCGTTGCTTCCAAAAGAAAAAAAAGAGGGAAAAATTGGAAGAGTGTTGAATTTTGCCGTGCCCATCTGAGGGAAAAGTCAGTGGCGTTTATTTGATCAGCTGTTTGACGGCATTAATTTATAATCGTAGCAAAATAACAAAAAAGCAAAGAAAGAAAGCGAAAAAGGAAGCAAGAAACAAAGGTGGAAAGCTAAAAAATAAACATGGGGCTTGGTTGTAGATCTCAGTTTACGTCTTGTATGTTACGCTGAAATAGCGGGCACTTGCGCAAAATTTTGTGAAGACGCACAATTGAATTATAAAACACACGGTTTATTCGCTGCATCGCTATAGTACAATGCGTTGCTGTTGCATAATCACTAAAACACTGCTATCATCTATCACGACACCAGTCGGGAGTGAATTGGATATTTTGGTGTTGGAAGACCACTTTGCGAAGATGGATGTTTAGATTTGGATTATCCAGGTAAGAATGAAGCTGCGTTGATCTGGCATGAAGAACTTTCGGCTACCTTTCTGAAATGTTAGCTGGTGAAGATGGATTGTTTCCGTTTCGCGATTGACAGCTGCTTTAATTTGCCTTTATTTTATAATGCGATAATTCAGGCTGCATAAAAGGCGTCCTTGACTTGTAGAAGTTTTTATTCCAAGAACTTCGCAGTGCATTTGAAGATGCAGGTGATTCAGCAATTATCAAAAGATATAGGTAAGTCGGAAGTTATTGGAAATTTTGCAGAACGAATTGTCGTTTAGCTATCGGAATAGTTGGTGATAGGTTTTGACTTCGTTAATGCAGTTGTCAGCCATCGGTCACCAACTGGTATGAAGTCTAGTGCGTTGTGGGGCGACTCCATGCGGTAGCTGGTGTTGGTCAAGCTTAAATTTTTCGGTTGTATTTTACATCCTTTTGTAGAGACATTAGGTATTTTTTGAAAGCAGGCAAGATGAAAAATTAGCAACGCTTTCGCCGGGAATCGAACCGCGGACCTCTGGAACACCTGCCCAGTGTGCAGATTACCACACCACGAAGGCACGCCAAGAAGGTGGGAGAAATACCTTATACTTGTTATATGTGAAGCCCATATCGGAGGAGCTAAAGTTTCATTGATTCTTTGGTCTCCTGGCTTTCAGAGGCCTTGATGACAGACACGGTGCAGATCTCTAAAATGCCTTGACACTTGCCGTGAAATTATGACTGTTATAATATCAAGAAGCTAAAGTGAGTAAGTTATTCCTTTTGAAATGTCAGAGCATGTCACACCCCTCGTAACACCTCATAACAGCTGAGACTTGCGAAGGAACCGCACCCATGAATTTCTTTTTTGTGTGCGCCGCAGATATAATATAATTAAAATGAATTTTAAATTATATTTATTACATATATTATTAAAAATATATTCATAAAAATTATCAATTGGACATAGGTAAATTAATTTTTTTAAATTAATTTATATGAATTACACTATTATTTATAGATGAAGTAAAGGTTTGGATAATTGAGATACGCGTTATATTGCTTTTGTTAATGCGTAGAAGAAAAATTAATGTCCTTATATTTTGTGAAGGGCACGTGAATGAACAGGGTTCGGCAGCGTAAAGCAATATATGGTCTAAAAGGTTTAAAAAAATTCTCGTTTAACATATGTCTAATATTAACAAATTTTACAGGACAGTATTAGGCATAAAATCGGCTTTAATTTGAAAGGTTAAGGTTCAATTATTGAATAGAAAAATCTGCTACTGGAGTTTAATATTTTTTGTCTTTATTAAAGGTGAAGAAGACATGTATTGCTGCAGAGGTTATTGTATGGATTTATTGAACGCTCTAGCAACCGAGTTGAACTTCACTTACACACTCTACCAAGTGGAAGACGGATTATACGGTAGCTTTGACCACGTAAGCCTTATTCAACTATATATCATTTAACAATAATATTTTATAAACAAGTTATCAATTTAATGACACGCATACAACGTCAAAGAGAGAATGAGGAAATAGATTAGGATAGTCTTGCTATAAAAAAATATCGTAAGGATATTTTATCCTATCTTTTGACATTCCTATTTTTAATACCTTCTTTCAAATATATGCTTTAATAGTTTATTTTAATTTGGTATTCTAATCCTGATTATTTAGCTTAAAATTGTTTTAGATGTTAAACTAAAATCAGTATGTTATGACTGCAGTTTGGTTTTAATCTTATTACTTTATTATTTTTAAAAGTTTCAATTCTTTAAACGTTAAGGTTAAATCTTTGAAGTATTAGGATATAAGACCTCAAAGATTAATGAGATTTTCAGATTACAGTTTTTTTATCATCTGATTTATTTTTAAATGTGTTTCATTTTCGTCATAGTACTCATTTTGATTATTGCTTTGTGGCAGATTTATTCTTCCCATCGGACTCTCTGAGTGGATGAGAGATAATACAAGCAGACGATAAAAAAAGAAGAAGGAATAATCTAATACTCTTTGTAACTTAAATCTGTTTTTTGGAAGATCAGAATGGATGATGTCATATATGACGACTAAATTAAATAACATTTACGGCACTTTTTACCATGTTCAGTCTATTTTTGCAATTTATACGACATTCGGAGAATATTTCTGCCCTCACACAGCAATAGCTCTTTTTTCAAAGCAATTTAAAGCCCCATTTATTCGAACTTATAGAGATACTTTTTTTCATTTATGGCATGTTGAGGTTGGCGTTTTCATGGAAAATATAAATAGCTTTCGGAATGCTTTTACAAATTTAGCTGTATGTTTACATACGATAGCCCATATGCCAATTAAGTATTTATCCGAACTCGCAACAGTTTTTTCTAAAATATCAGAGTTCTGAGGAACTTCAATTAAAAGGTATTTATTCATTTCTTTTATAGGAATTCTGAGAGTTTAGTGGGATACTTTTGTAAGTTCACGTATCGGGCAGCCATATTTTTAAGATTCTTAGTAGCACACTGGCGCTTATATAAACGTTTATGAGATTTTGTTATTTTTTGGAGGGAATGTAATTTACCAAAATTAATGTAATTTTTAAATTAGTGCCATTTTGTGCTTTCGAACAGGTAAACGGCTCCGAAAAAAAGATGTGGACGGGAATGGTCGGCGACTTGGTGTACGAGAGAGCAGACATGGTGGTTGCTCCCCTCACCATCAATCCCGAAAGGTCACAAGCCATCGAATTTTCGAAACCCTTCAAGTATCAAGGGATCACCATTCTCGAGAAAAAGGTATCCATTTCAATATATGCCTTATCAGTTCGCAGTTATTAATTCCAAGTGTCATTTGCCGAAGAGGAATAATGTTTATTCGCAAGTCTTTCACAGTCTGTAGGTAAAGTCCAAAAGCCATACCTAAGGCAGGGAATATTAAAATAATTTTACCAGTCAAAGAGAAATGAATTAATATATAGCCCTAGACATAATAGAAACAGATTCGCTTATAAAAACGATCTTGCATTTTTAAAGATGTTCTTTAAAAAAACGAACTTTCATGCAAATTGGATTCACATACGTTCTTACGTTAAAAGGATTCAGCAGATAAAACAATTAATGGTTTGGGGGGAAAAAAACATGCTTTATCGTAAATGTCTTTCTTTAGCAGTAGCTTTATGCGATAAGGGGGAGATTGTCTGAATAGAGTCAGGTCGAAGGCAAATGTATGGAGAGACAGTTCTCTTAGAGCGCAAAATTAATATATGGCAATTATATAAAATATATTAATATAATTTAACTATATTAATATATACTATATACGTATATATGCATGCACACAGCGTGATTAAAAATAACAGAGCGTGGGAAATCTGTGAAAGTGCAGAGCCATTAATTTTATTTTGGAGCAGGAATCATGAAAAGTCAACAATCCTCCCACCCGGATTCGAACTCCGGACTTGGAACTTCGGAATGCCAACCAGACTTACTTCCAATTACCTCATAGCAATATGTAATGACCTCACGGATGAATAAGCCACCATAAGGAAAACAAAACAAACATTTATTAAAAATTAACGTTCAAAGAATAATGGTAAAAAAATTAACGTTCACAGAATAATAGTAAACTCGGAGCACTACCTCGCTCCTACAACATAGTTAATCTACCACCTGCCTCCTCTGAGGCTAACATGCAACTGTTATCTCTCTCCCTTGCTGGGCTCTGCCAGGCAGCTGATTGGCTTACCGTAGCCAGATACATGCCATCCTCCCCCGGTAAGATTGTGCTACGCCAAAGCGAAGCAGAATCTGAAAACTGAACCAGCAAATACAAACTTATAATGTATACTCCACATACCAAATTACTTCAAACAATGTATACTCCACATACCAAATTACTTCAAAATATATAAACATGTATACATGACGTAATAACATACTTTAAAATAAGTGCAATAAACATTCATCTCACAACAGATGAACAGACGACTTGATACAATACCGGAGTTCTGTAATAAAACATATATGCAATACTATTTCAAAACACAATATTATAATGCAACATTAAATGAAAACCAGTAATTTGTTTTTCAAAACAGATGGAAAGTAGCTCTCGTACAATTCCGGAACAAAAGAAAGTAACTAATGCAAAGTTTTAAAACATATTAGTTCATACCTATTTCATTCACCAACTAGTCTTGAAAGACTATCTGCATTTTTTAATTGTGCACCAGAGCAATGAGAAGTATGAATATTATAACGCTGAAGTGCCATTGCCCATCTCTGTAATTTGGCTGAATGCGGTGCCGACTTATACAAATATAATAATGGATTATGGTCTGTGATCAGCTCGATATTCGATCCAAACACCCAACACTCGAACTTTTTTAACGACCACACAACGGCATAAGCCTCGCGTTCAATAGTTGACCAATTCTGCTGAGTTTTCGAAGTTTTTAACTGTCAAAGCTGATAGGATGCAAACTGCCTTTGCTGTCTCGTTGTGACAAGCAAGCACCAACACCATATGCACTAGCATCACACTGTATGGTGTAAGGTTTTCCTGGTTCTGGAGTGTATAATTTTGGTGCTTCACACAGTCGACGTTTCAGTTCTTGAAATGCTAATTCCTCAACATGGAATTATTGGAATAATGGAACATGGAATAATTATCAACCATGGAATTATCTCAGGAATTTTCTTTTTCGTAAGCTCCGTCAATGGGCGAGCTATTTCTGCATAATTCTTTATGTAATCACGATAATAGTTGAATAAGCCTAATGCACTCTTTGGAGCAGTCTTTGTTTTAGGACTTTTTATAATTTCAATGGCTTGTAATTATTCATGATCAGGTTTGATGTCTTCCAGCTCGTATTATATGTCCTAAATACTTTATCTCCGAACGTGCAAAAACACATTTCTTTACGTTAACCGTAAAACCTGAGATCACTTAATGTAGTTAGCACAGCATCTAAATGTTTGAATGAAGAGATGAGAATTCCAATCTGGTGAAAAGATAGCAATATCATCAATATATGCTTTGCAAAAATCACTATGTTTTCTTAAGGCATCATTCATCACTCGCTGAAAAGTAGAAGCTGCATTTTTTAATCCAAAAGGCATCACTTTCTAACGATATTGGGCACGATGTGTCTTGAATGATGTTAAATCACGACTTTCTTCTTCTAAAGGTATTTCCCAGTAACCCTTCAAGACATCTAAACAAGTGATAATATTCGCGTGTCCAATTTTATTGATTAGATCAGTCACATTCTCCATTGGAAAATCAACAGGCTTGGTTACTTGATTCAACAACCTGAAATCAATACATAAACGCATACTTCCGTCTTTCTTGGCAACACATACGACTGGGTATGCTATTTCAGCTTCACTTGGCTCAATAAGACCCAAGCTCTCTAATTCCTCGATCTGTTTGTCTACTTCAGTTTCAAAAATTCTGGGATCTTATAGATATATAGCTTTTTTCTTTCAGCATCAGGTAACAACCGAATTCTATGTTCAGCAACGCTGGTTATTTGGATCTCACCAGAAAATAACGCGATGTGCTTGAGTAAGAGCTCGCGTAATTTCTTTTGTTTGCTTCCTTCTAAATGACTAATATCCACCTCGATGTCTCTTCTAGTTGCTGCGCAATCTCCTTTATTTCGAGTTGCATGAATTTCCCCAAACTCAGAATCATCTTCAAATATCACTCCCACTTGTGCTCGAACATAAAATTTTCTTATTTTGTTCACATGAACATGCCTCACACTCCCATCGGGTAATTTAACTTTATAAGAATGAGGATTTACTCTTTCAACAACTTCACCTGGACCTGTCTACCTAGCATATAGCTTGTTGCTAGAGTCTGGTATAAGTAAATATACTAGATCACCATTTTTAAATTCTTTCAAACTTTTGCGACGGTTAAAATACTATGCATAAGCTTCTTGTTTTTCCGCGGCAGATAAAGAAGCGAGCTCAGATGCTTTCTGTAAATTTATCTTTAATTCTTGTAAATAATCAACTGCTGAATTACTGAGATTAAGAGGTAATGGTATTTCACCGGACCATGATGATTTTAACACAGCTAAAGCACCTCTAGCTTCACGACCGTACATAAGCATAAATGGAGATACACCTGTAGTGCAATTTGGAACTTCACGATACGCAAAAAGTAAATAAGGTATGTGCTTGTCCCAATTAACAGGATCTGTGCGAATTACATGATGTAACATTTGTTTAAATACCCGATTCCATGGGTAACCAGGCGTCGAAAAACGAGGATGAGATCCTAACTTTTTTCGAATTCTTCAGTTAACTGTGAGGTAAAATTAGTGCCTTGATCACTACAAATTATTTCTGGAATACCGGTTCTCATAAAAATATCTAAAAGGGCATCACAAGTAGCTTTAGCAGAAAGACTTTTTAAAGGTATGACTTCTGGCCATTTTGAATGATTATCTATCAAACCCAAACAATATTTATGTTTCCTTCCTGAAGGCGGTGAAATTTCACCAATAATATCTACAACTAGTATGTTTACTGTATGAAAGGGATATGGCGCGCGAACAATAGGGAGTAATCAGAATTTTATCCGATTGTCTTTCCGGACTTTTTAATTGACATCTTTCGCATGTTCTACAATAATTTTCTACATCTTTGGATATGTTCAGCCAATAAAATGAAAGCTTAATTCTTTCTTTAGTTTTCCTCATACCTAAATGATTTCCGAATATGGAATCATGAGCTAATTGAAGGACTTTATTTCGATAATTCTCGGGCAAAACTGACTGTTGTACGTTTTCCCCACAATTTTTTTCTTTATGAAATAATAATTCATCTTGTAAAAAAGAAATCATTCTTCCCTAATTCTGCGTCCTTAAAAGAATTTATTAATGTTTGGCAGTTTCTCTAATCGACCTTAAATTTATTCGATTCCGAATAACTGTTTAGTCTTTCATCATTCTGATTCGCAACTGAGCTATAAAAAAAGATTTACATTTGACAGTTCAACGACGCCAACCTTAGGTTGTTTTTGTTTATGAGTTTCCCGTTTCGTCTCGGGGTAGACTATTGATTCATTCTCGTCTTCAAATATGCGATCCCATAACATCTGATGTAATTAAACATTGAACACTGAGCTTATCTGTCAACGCGAAAAGAGCTTCTACGCGCGAATATAGACAACTGTTCGGTCTTTTGTAATAAATGGGAATAGTTGCTAACGTTGCTTCTATGACGTCCCCAAATGCAGAACTTAAAATGCTTTTACCCTTACTTTCTAATTTTAAAGTCAGGAATTAATGTAGTGTTCAAAATTCGTATTTCCGTACCTGAATCTTTTATAGCTTCTACTTGCTTCCCTGCAATGTAAATACCAATGGTAGTGTTCAAAATTGGTATATTGGTAAAAAAAAGTAATCTTTTCCAAGGAATAAAAATTAAGTTTTCCGTCGGAACACTCGCGTTTTTGTAAATGTTTAGAATTTACATTTGTAACAACCGCATTGTCCTTCGGCTTACTTAAAGTGTTAACTTTCGGTTTGACCGGGAAATTATCGCTCTGTTTATTGGACCTCTCAAATTTATTTCGCCTGTTCGGGCAATCCTTAGCCAAATGTAAACTGCTACTACAGCGCTGGTGGAATATAGTTAGAGTTTTGTTGTATGAATCACGAAAATTAGCGCGTTTTTCACCTCTTATGTCATCAAAAGATTTACCTTTTGCGATGAAAATAAGTGTCGCATTCCTTCACGCTAGTTCTTCTGGACGTAGCCAACTTTCACCTTGTCTAACTGCAACATGGCACGGCTAAATCATTTATCCAACGTTTGAAAAAAAAATTGTCAGAAATGATTAAGTTAATTCAAGACTCAAAATCATTTGACGTTTCTACTTTTACAATTAATGAATCCAACATGATCTGATCTTAAACGAGAGGCGAACTGCAAATGAGTTTTTCCCCATCAACCTTTTGAGCTTGGTGAAAATTTTCTAAACATATAATTGGCGATGGTTCACATATTCCTTTAAGGATTAAAGATTTAATTTTTTCATAATCTTTCAAATCATCATCTTTAATATATACTAATATAGAATATTAGAAGATTTATCACCTATCAGTTTAAGTAAAATTTCAGACTTAAACTCATTTGGCACGTTCTTATGCTTTAAAAGCCCTTTCTATGAAATCAAAAAATAAGTTCCATGCTTCACCCTTTTTTGGTACAGAAATCGATAATGCCTGTACAGCTTTCAAAAGCTTATCTAATGAAAGTGTATTTTCTACGTTGTTACTAGATTCGTTGCTACTTTCGATTTGCATCAAACGCAATTTCAGAATTTCTTCTGACTTTTTCCTTTCTTCATCCGTAGTATGAAATTCAATAGCAAAAATCTTTATCTTTCAAATATTCTTTAGAACTTAAAAGCTTATCTTTTAATTCTACAACTTTTAAACTAGAATCGGCTTCTTCACCGAGTTCTTTCAACACCGAAATCAAATCACTTTTAACTACTCCCTTAAACATATTTAGAAGAAATTTTCCTTAAAATTACAACAAAAATTTCTCACCTTTTCTCAAAATTCAGTCGGCTTCGTTCGCTCTGGTTCTCGGAAGAGAGCGTGTTGTAATGACCTCACGGATGAATAAGGCACCATAAGGAAACAAAACAAACATTTATTAAAAATTAACGTTCAAAGAATAATGGTAAAAAAATTAACGTTCACAGAATAATGGTAAACTCGGAGCACTACCTCGCTCCTACAACATAGTTAATCTACCACCTGCCTCCTCTGAGGCTAACATGCAACTGTTGTCTCTCTCCCTTGCTGGGCTCTGCCAGACAGCTGATTGGCTTACCGCAGTTAGATACATGACAACATGCATGCGGTAAGGAGGGAGAAAATAAGGGCGACTGAGAAAGAGAAGGGATACCACCACTTGGGTGTCACTGTTCAGCAATTTAGGATTTTTTAAAGCAGGAAAACATCAACAATCAGTAGTATTCTAGATGGGATTCGAAGTCTTGATTTTTCGATTACCAGGCAGACGTTTAAATTACAATGGTATTCGATAACGAAGAGAAGTAGAAGGTAACGATATAAGCAGATTTTGTAATGAATTTTTCTTTTTTTTTTTTTTTTTCTTCTTTTCTTTTCAGAAATGGTGCGTTGATGGAAATGTGTTGGGATGGGATGGGATGGATGGATGGAATGGGTGGATGGATAGATGAATGGACGGCTATTCTAGCGATGTAAGAAAAGACGGCACCTACAATCACCAGATTTTGAATACATATAGTCCTTCGTCCCCAATCAAACTGGAACAGCGTCTGTCCAACTAGAAGCCCGACTTTTGAATTTCAAATTTTTATTATTATTATTTTTATTTATTTTCATATTTTGGTTTAATTTAATGACACTTTAATTAAATTCGATGATTTAAGAGCAGTATGTTGCTTCTTGGCAAAGTATAAGATATTTCAAATATATACAGAAAATTCGGCGTTAATAAAAATGTATTACCACTTGACAAAACGTTATTATTAGTTATTTTATCTTTCAAATTTGATAAAAAGAACACAACTATTCGAATGAAATGTGTTACTAATGCTTGGTATAAAATGTTTTACCTTCCATGCGCCAATGTGTTGCCATTTGAAAAAGCGTAAGATATTTAATTTTCCTTTTGAAATTTAATTTGCCGTATTGATTAACGAACCAAGCGAGTTAAAATTAATAAAAGCAGTTCTTCGTCTCTCTATTATTATTAATTACTAGCTGTACCCGTGAAATTACACTGACTGGATGCATTAAAATCATCATATACTCGTATTTTTTTCTTATTTAGAACAGCTATTTTAGGTGGCAGATGGCACAAGTGGTAAGTTCATAATAAAATGAAAAAAATAAAGAAAAAAGAAAATATGAAATTCAAATCTCAGCACAAGAGGATTTGTTAAGGTTTTTTTTATGCTCTATCTAAGCACATACAGGTATCAATCCTTTCTTAGATTCACTCCTGCTAATGCAGTTTTGTTTTGTTTTAGTAACTTTATTATTAAACATCACTTTCTTCGCACTTATGCCAAGTAAAATTAAAAAGCAAAATCACAAAATACTTAAAAAATAACATATGTTTAGAATTTTCAATAGTGTGTTAAGAGTTTGCTGTTCATAATTTTATATTCGCTACATTATTTCTTTGAAAACTAGCAGTTCAAGCGGCCAGCCGCCTAGAAGAGTTGTCATAAAAAATTAAAAAATATTTTAATGAGTCCAGCTAGTGTAATTTCATAGAAATTTAATCTATCTAATTAGACATGTTATAGTCACATTAAAAGGCTAAAAAAATAGTTTAAAATACCATAAATTAAGCATGTACATATTATAGCTGTTTTAAATGATATGAAGAACTTAAATAACACAGGCTTCTCAAATTTTAAATTGCTGAGAAGAATTGTTGAAAATCTTGTTACGAAACATGATAGCTGTAATTGTATGACTGGTTTAAGAATTCAGATACATAAAATGACATAAAAATAAATAAAATTCTATTCGGAGGATGAATATCCTTTACCATTCTGGTCATACACACGGACTTCTTATGAATACTCTTTCAGATTCTAAAGAGACAAAAAAATATTTCATGTTGTATCACAGACTGCAGGGTTTAAAGGAGAGAATTCTTAGAAACCTAAAGGAGACTAGATGAGAGTTTTACATCGAAAGGGGTGTTCAGATACAAAATTGGTACAAATTATGCATCTCTTGCGTCATACTTCAAGAAGTCATATCTAGATGTTGCTAAATATCAAGCAAACGATGTCAGATTTGAGTTACGTAGAAGACAGTTAACATTCTCTTTACGATGCGTCCATCATTGAAACTAGCGATTTATCATTATGATGCTTATTGTTTTGTGGTACAGTGCATCCTGAAAGTACCCATAACTTCCATCATAAACTCTGTTCATTTATACAATAGTAATTCAAGATAATCAATTCATCTGGATAATTTTCCAAGAGGCTCGTGTCTGCTTGCATGTTTCTGTTGTATACGTAAATTATGCGCCTCCAAATCAAATGCAACATTTTCGATGAAATAGAGCAGTGGCCCACGTAGCGCATGCTCTTCGTTAGCCTTTAACAGTGAAGCAACAATTAGAAACCTAACTTTTAACATCATCCCACAACGTGATATCCGAAACGGGACATCAGATCTCTATAAAGGACATAGGGATGAAGCAGTGCAGCTGCGGGCAAACCAGTATCTAAGGAATGCCACGAACAGGATTAGAGACTCTTTTTAGAAATATTTCTCACTCAGTAACTCGTGCTTTGGCTTGGAGTCGTTTCCTGCATTTCCATATGGAGTAATTTTATTCCGTTTTGTTATTTCAAAGCATAGTTTTCCAGCATGTTTGAAAGGTGTCTTTGATCAGCATCTCTTTCCTTTCGGACCTTTTCAATGTTCTCCCATCCTTGTAACGATGATAAGGCTAGATGGACATTGAAATATTCAGTGACTATAGATTACAGATTGAAACCTTCAAATATCTATATCAGTTTCACAGAACCAAATTATTAATTGGAACTTGTCAGGAAATATACCGGCAACGTTTAAAAACTTCTCCCAAATTTATAGTAATCAACCTGGGTAAATATACGTAAAGCCGTGCTAAAAGCCGATCATTAAGAACTGTGAAGTCCTGCTTGTTAAGTTGAAGTTTAAAAAAAAGTTTATGTAAAATTCTGTAGTTTTATACTGTTTTATTCAGAAGTTCTAACTTGCATTTTGTACGTTTCTTTTCTCTGGGCGGAGGAGTGGAAAAAACGTATAATACTTTTACACAGCTTGGATAACGTATAGGAAGCACCCAAGCTATGATTAATTAAGATTATTTTAAAGTTTATTTTAAAG